TTAGCTTTCTCCAGAGCGCTATACAATGCTGTGGAGAGAGTAACGTGGGTACATATATGACGTGGCCTACGTAACAGTCAGAGGTTGAGTTTACCAAGCCAGAGGCTGGGTACACCAAGCCAGATACTGGGTTCACCAAGCCAAAGACTGGGTTCACTAAGCCAGAGGCTGGGTTCACTAAGCCAGAGGCTGGGTTCACTAAGCCAGAGGCTGGGTTCACTAAGCCAGAGGCTGGGTTCACTAAGCCAAAGGCTGGGTTCACTAAGCCAGAGACTGGGTTCACTAAGCCAGAGACTGGGTTCACTAAGCCAGAGGCTGGGTTCACCAAGCCAGGGGCCGGGTTCACTAAGCCACACCCCAGACTCTGATGTAAGGCGCACTGAGACCTCATCCGGTGTTCATACAGGTCACCTTACAGGTTGTGCTCTTAAATACTCCTACGCGCACACACACCACACACACACACAACATTTGGCAGGGTTGAATTCGAGAAGCCAGTTTCTGGACCAAGTGTCCAGCCTGTCCAGGTCTCTTTGCAGTCCTGCCTCATCCTCATCCGATTTAATTCTTCTCATCAGCTTCACATCATCTGCGAATAGGGGCACTTCAGAGTCTATTCCTTCCATCATGTCGTTCGCATATATCAAAAATAGCACTGGTCCTATAACTGACCCCTGTGGGACCCCGCTCGTCACAGGCGCCCACTGTGATACCTCTTCACGTACCATGACTCATTGTTGCCTCCCTGTCAGGTATTCCCTGATCCAGGGAGGGCACTGCAATGGATCAGGGAATACCTGACAGGGAGGCAACAACGAGTCGTGGTACGTGAAGAGGTATCAAAGTGGGCGCCTGTGACGAGCGGGTCCCACAGGGGTCAGTTCTAGGACCAGTGCTATTTCTGATATATGCGAACGACATGATGGAAGGAATAGACTCTGAAGTGTCATATTCGCAGATGATGAAGTGATAGAAGAATTAAATCGGATGAGGATGAGGCAGGACTGCAAAGAGACCTGGACAGGCTGGACACGTGGTCCAGAAACTGGCTTCTGAATTCAACCCTGTCAAAATGAGACAAAGTCAAGAAGTTTGGGGAGGCAAAGAAGACCGTAGATAGAGTGTAGGCTAGGTGACAAAGGACTACAGGCTCATTCAGGAGAAAGATTTTGAGGACCTTTAACACCGAGCACGTCTTGGGGAGGCAATACATCAACCAAATAACTGCTGCAGCTACGGGCGCCTGGCAACTGAGAATAGCGTTCCGATACCTTAATAAGGAATCGTTCAAGACACTGTACACTGTTTGTAGATGGATGGTTCAGAGAACCGACATGTGTCTAATTTATCACTGTACACTGTGTACGTTAGGCCCACACTAGAGTATGCAGCACCAGTTTGGAACCCACACCTGGTCAAGCACGTCAAGAAGTTAGAGAAAGTACAAAGGTTTGCAACAAGGCTAGTCCCAGAGCTCAGGAGAATGTCGTACGATGAAAGGTTGAGGGAAATCGGACTGACGACACTGGAGGACAGAAGGGTCAGGGGAGATATGATAACGACATACAAGATACTGCGGGGAATAGACAAGGTGGACAGAGACAGAATGTTCCAGAGAGGGGACACAGAAACAAGGGGTCACAATTGGAAGTTGAAGACTCAGACGAGTCACAGGGACGTTAGGAAGTATTTCTTCAGTCATAGAGTCGTCAGGAAGTGGAATAGCCTAGCAAGTGAAGTAGTGGAGGCAGGAACCATACATAGTTTTAAGAAGAGGTATGACAAAGCTCAGGAAGCAGAGAGGGAGAGGATCTAATAACGATCAGTGAAGAGGCGGGGGCAGGAGCTGTGACTCGACCCCTGCAACCAGTAACAGGTGAGTATATACACACACACACACACACACACACACACACACACACACACACACACACACACTATCGACAAGTGCCTTTGATAGTCAGTAACTAACGCAACAAGCCAAATAATTAATAATAACATTATTATCTCAGAAAAATTAATTATTTAATATTTAACCTTCCTGTGTTATTTAATATCCATTTTGTAATAAACATTATATTATATAATGAGAGAGAGAGAGAGAGAGAGAGAGAGAGAGAGAGAGAGAGAGAGAGAGAGAGAGAGAGAGAGAGAGAGAGAGAGAGAGAGAGAGAGAGAGAGAGAGAGAGAGTACTGGCAGGGGTGTTAAAGATGTATGTAAGGGCAGGGGAGCGAGGTATTACCTTGGTTATGTGACGTCACTCAAGGTCTGGCTCCACCATGTTACCTTGATCTTACCTGGTGAGAGTTAAAGTTTTAAAACATATATACTTACACTTACATATATACATATATATAAACACACACACTTGTTATATAAGGAAAATGCACTAAATGTCCGTGACCAGGAGCTGTAACCTTTCTCTCCCTTTATTTATATATATATATATATATATATATATATATATATATATATATATATAATATATATATATATATATATATATATATATATATATATATATATATATATATATCCCATATTATTCCAACACAAGGAACAACACTCAACACTGCCAAGAAAAACAAGCAGTAAATATATAAAATCATTTTTGACTTCCAAAAATCTTACTAAAGAAAAATCAAAAAGTCATAATTCCCCAAGTGTGTCCTTGATGAATATGGTTGTTCACTTCCCATTATCCCGTGACCATTATGAAGTTCACCTTGGAGGAGGACTTCCCTAGCCTCCCTCACGCACACACACACACACACACACACACACAATATAATATATATATATATATATATATATATATATATATATATATATTAAGAGAGAGAGAGAGAGAGAGAGAGAGAGAGAGAGAGAGAGAGAGAGAGAGAGAGACAGACAGACAAGACAGAGACAGAGAGACAGAGACAGAGACAGAGAGACAGAGACAGAGACAGAGAGAGATAGGGAAGTCTCTACCTAATAAGGCTCTTGGCAGTGTCTCGCATAGGTATTGGAAGGTCAATACCCCCACTACCTCTCTTCCTTCTCCTCCTCCTCCTCCTCCTCCTTCTCCTTCTCCTCCTTCTCCTCATGCATCTAAGTTCTTGCAGTAAGATCTAATAATATTGTCACGTATATAATAATAATAATTAGTAGTAGTAGTAGTAGCAGTAATTATATTATTATTATTATCATCATCATGACCATCATCTGAGTTTTATCATAGTAATAAGAAACTTCTATAGCATCAAGTCATTATGTATTTCCTATCTATTTTAAATCCTATTTTTCCCAATTTTTAATAGTTATCTCCTTCCCTTATCTCTGTTTTTTACACTTGCCACGTTTATCACATTGCTGGTAAACAACACCAACAACCTGATGAATAAGACACATGAATACATACATACATACATATATATATATATATATATATATATATATATATATAATATATATTATAATATATATATATATATATATATAATATATATATATATATATATATATATATATATATTATATAATATAACCTCTCGGTATATATGTACTGACGTGTTGAGAAAGAATATTTCATATAATTGTATACAATTCTCAGTGTTTTTGTGACGCATTATGTCTAGTGTCATTTCAGGTATCTGTTACTTTATATTTGTTAAGTTACACTTTCAACTCTACTTTCTAAAATGGCTTCCCTTGTAGCTTTAAAATTGTGGTCTCCTAGTCGTCCTTCTACTGACATCACATCTATATTGCCCGAAGAACTGGAACAAAAAATCTTCCTCGTGTACCACTTAAAAAAAATAAATTGCAAGATACTGTTAGTATGAACTGTGATGTCTGCGCACAGCTATTGAAGATAAGATAAGATAAGATTTCGTTCGGATTTTTAACCCCGGAGGGTTAGCCACCCAGGATAACCCAAGAAAGTCAGTGCGTCATCGAGGACTGTCTAACTTACTTCCATTGGGGTCCTTAATCTTGTCCCCCAGGATGCGACCCACACCAGTCGACTAACACCCAGGTACCTATTTGCTGCTAGGTGAACAGGTGTAAGGAAACGTGTCGAAATGTTTCCACCCGCCGGGAATCGAACCCGGGCCCTCCGTGTGTGAAGCGGGAGCTTTAGCCACCAGGCCACCGGCCACCTATGAATGAATGATGGTGAATGTTTCTCTTTTTGGGGGTTGTCTCTACCTTGGTGGGAGACGCCCAGTATTGTAAAGAAAGTGGTAGGTCACTGTGATGCCTTAGTTTAGGTCAGTAACATTATTAGTGCAGGTAATGTTGATGGTAATGTGACGTTATGCAAGTATTGTTGATGTTAATGTGACGTTATGCAAGTATTGTTGATGTTAATGTGAAGTTATGCAAGTATTGTTGATGTTAATGTGATGTTATGCAAGTATTGTTGATGTTAATGTGACGTTATGCAAGTATTGTTGATGTTAATGTGACGTTATGCAAGTATTGTTGATGTTAATGTGACGTTATGCAAGTATTGTTGATGTTAATGTGACGTTATGCAAGTATTGTTGATGTTAATGTGAAGTTATGCAAATAAATGTGATGTTAATGTGACGTTATGCAAGTATTGTTGATGTTAATGTGAAGTTATGCAAATATTGTTGATGTTAATGTGACGTTATAAAAGTATTGTTGATGTTAATGTGAAGTTATGCAAGTATTGTTGATGTTAATGTGAAGTTATGCAAATATTGTTGATGTTAATGTGACGTTATGCAAGTATTGTTGATGTTAATGTGAAGTTATGCAAATATTGTCAATGTTATGTTATGCAAATAGTATTGATGTTAATGTGATGTAACACATATAACGATGTTAATGTGACGCTACACATGTAACCTTGACATTCATGTGATGTAACACATATAACGTTGATGTTAATGTGATGTTACACAGATAACGTTGATGTCAATATAACGTTACACAAACAATGTCGAAGTCAACGTGACGTTACGGGAAATCCAAGATGACTTACCGAGCACGGAGGTGTCCTCTTCCAGTTCGACGATGACCCGACCGGAGATGAAGTGTCCGGGGAAGTAAAGAAGGTTGGGATTGTCGAAGAGGATGATAAACTTCTGCAGTTTCCGTGACATCTTCGACCACTTCAAGCCTCGTGCAATGCCAGACACACTATAAAGCGGTGCACACACTCTGTAAGGCGGTACACACGCTATAATACAGCGCACACTCCCTGCGACGCTGTTCACTGATGCTTCTTGAGTGTCCAGATATACAAGGTTTCACTGACCTTGTTTTTTTCCCGATCTGTCCCGTCTATTTCCAAAACTTCTTATTTATCTTAGGTTCAGTGTCCACTCGTCACCTGAGCACCGCAGTTTTCTGCCTTACGTGCATGCGCATTATCCTCAGCAGCATGCCTGGACATCAGAAAAAATAAGATAAAAATATATTATGTACCTTCTTTACTGTGTGACCATGAACATAACAAAGGCACAGACACATACAATAATTAGCATAAATAATTAACATAACAAACGCGTAAATAGAAAAAAAAATGCTAGTGTTTTTCAACGTTTTGTCATAATAAGTTCGTCTGCATTTAGGCCGAATTTCAAGACTTTGTCTGGAAGAAAGGCAAGGAATTCATACATGAATGATATGTTTACGAAATCAATGGAATTAGAAGATTGTATAAAATTTTAAATGAATTGCAAAAAGAGAGAGAGAGAGAGAAATGAGATATATTGGAAACTCGCGTTTTTATAGCTTTTTTTTTAATTTTTATGAGTTTAATGAACGCTTATAATGTTGTGTGACTGAACAGTGCCAACACGTTCTTCATAGTCAGTATACATGCAGTGTACTGAGGGTTTACCATCATCTCCCTAATACTGCACGAGATGTAGTGTTATCAGTGTTGTTGTCTTGGTTCAGTGATGATGGTTGACACTGTCGGTCACTTGCTGGAGTCGTTGTCTCAATGTTGTCACTCCTGCTGTCTTGGTTCAGTGATGATGGTTGACACTGTTGGTCACTTGCTGGAGTCGTTGTCTCAGTGTTGTCACTCCTGCTGTCTTGGTTCGGTGATGATTGTTGTCACTCCTGCTGTCTTGGTTCAGTGATGATTGTTGTCACTTGCTGGAGTCGTCGTCTTGGTTCAGTGATTATTGTTGTCACTGTTGATCACTTGCAGAAGTCATTTTCTCACTGTTTCTCTTTGCTCCTGCCTAAATTTTGGACAGGCACTGATATATTTTGTTCTTAGATATTGCCCAGCTTTTTGGCTGTTGTTCGTAGGAACAACCTCACCCTAACCTCTCTCGCCAAATTTACGAACAACACTCAGAAATCTGAACAAATATATTCAGAACACAGTACATGTAACATTTACTGTAAGACCTGTACTGGATTTAGCGACGCCTCCATGGAATCTTCATCTCATGAGGGATAAAAGAGTATTGAGATAGCCATCCACGCTTTTAGAAAGCTGGTCCCAGAACTACAAGACCTGGGATATGAGAGAAGGTTGCGATAGCTGAATCTTCTTTTCTGCTTAAAATGTTTCAACCTCTGGGTTATTAACACCGGTATCTTTTCAAGCCGACGTGAAATGTACTATAGCAGTGTCTAGTGATGAGTATGTCCCTGACAGAACTAAACCTCACATCACTAGAGAATGGAAGTACCAAAGAAGATTTGGTAACGCTTATACAAGTCTAGAGTAGATAGAAATACACTAATATGGGCGAGAACAGAACAAGAAATTATAAATGGAAACTAGAAGTTCAAAACAGCCAGAGAGCCATAAGTAATCCCTTGAGAATGACATTATTGAACATGTGGAATATATTACGAATTGACGTTATAGAGGATAACGCCATTCAAGGACTGAAAAGTACAGTACACCAAAGCTCAACTGGGAAGGGAGAAATTCAACCCAGAAAATCGATGAGCAAAGGCGGGGTCCAAGAGCTGGAGCTGAACCCCAACGCACACTGAGTACACAGTTACAAGTGCTGTCCCTCAAGGCTCCGTGCTAGAACCTGTACTGTTTATTGTATACGTGACTTGTGTGCCAGAGGGGATATCGACTATTACCTAACATTGTTTACAGATGACGCAAATGAAAGATATTGAAAGTTCTGAACACAATGGAGGACTGGTTTAATGGCTACTGAAATCCAAACCCGACATGTACAAAGTAATGGTGGAGAAAGGAGGCCGGAGACAACGTACCAACTGAAAAACAATTACAAGGGTCTGTGTTGACAGGATCTGACCGTGATACACTAACTTATCTTCAGAAGCTCACTGGTGAACAAAATACCACCAGAAGAATATGTGTAGCTAGCAAATTAGAAAAACTGAAAATGAGAAAGAAACAATTCATTATACATGTTCACCGTATTAAAGGCACAAAGATGATCCAAGAGTGTGCAGCACCAGCCTGGGGGGATCATGAAATACAAGTAAAAGATAGAGAAGCTAATCTCACGTCACTGGAAGAATGGAGAACCGAAGGAAACTTGGTCACGACTTACGAGATATCAAGAACACTGTCAAGGTTATCACAGACTACCAAGAGAGGGAAAATCAGAACACAAGGACAGGTGGAAAATATACTCTCGGATATGTACCAAGAATACTACGGAGCACTTCAGGGGGAAGACACCAGTGGAAATAAGTCACTTTGTCTGACCTTTTTTGGGGGGTTATCCTAAGTAATGTACACATATGCTATGTGTGATAATTTGTGTAACTGTATTTATGTGTTTCTGTACCTTAATAAACTTACCATACTGATTTAGCACACAGGACTGATCCCGGAGCTGGAGTTCGGTCCCCAAAAAACATAAGTGTAATAGATGTTTACACACTAAACCCTGGATCAGCAGGTCAAAGCCTAACTAATTTATTCAAAAATACGGCAAATAATGTTGTTAGTTTGTGGGATTTAAAACTTATAGCTCCAAGCAGTCATTAAGACCACAATCCAAGAATATTTTAATCCTTAAAATAGGGAGACTAAAGTGAACTCAGTGTATATACACTGAGAGATGCACACACATCACATTCCATGTACCCTGAGGTGTCCAACCACAGGGTACACAGGTGTATACACTCGGGACATCTTTATTGGATACGTCTTCGAGTGACAAATGTTTCAGGGGCGAAACGTGTCAAGTAAAGTTGTCCCAAGTGTCTGTAACTGTGTCCTTGCATCCCTATCCTGTGACGTCTTTTACTGGAGGTTTCCAGAACACAATATAGATGCAAGTAGCAAGACTATGCACGATATGATGTGCGTCTTAAATGATGATATTATGAATGTTGACGCTAACCTTATTACCTCGTTGTAGCTACGATAATTTAGTCTATACTCGTAGTGTCTCGGATTCTTCTTTCATATTTGCGGAATAATATATGAAAATATACAATAGTTGTAACACGTACAATATCTCCTCTGATCCTGCTCCTTCAAGAGGGTGGGGGAGTGGGGTCTGGATGCCGGTGAAGAGCTCTTGATTCAAGGAATTGGAGTTGTCATTCCTTGAAACAAATCCCTCAGAGGCCGTGTGGCCCCCTTACGGATTTAGCGTTTCCATGCGAATGTAATAATAACGATAATAATAATATTGACATTTTTTTATTTAAGCTTTCGTATAAACACAGTAGTGAAACTCTCGAACTCTTCAAAGGTAAGGTATACATCACTACTGTACATAAATATATCCTGAGATCTGTGTATCTCAGATTATATATACATTTAATTATATTTAATATGTATTGTAGATCGATAAGCTTTAAACCTATAAACTATGCTGTCTGAATACACACACACAGTAGCAACCAGTGAAGAGGCGGGGCCAGGAGCTATGAATCGACCCCTGCAACCACAAACAGGTGAGTACACACACACACTAACCAAGGAAAAACTGAAGTCAAAGGGATACTGGAACATTTTTCTTTGCAAACAGAGTATAAGATCACTGGAATGAATTACAAGAGGATGTATTAAGTGCTACAACTATTAGACATTTGAAAATTTATCTGACGAACAAACTGACGGGACACCAGGAGTACATCTCCTGTACCTACAAGTAGGTAATTATACACACCTTGACAATGTTTCTTAGACAAACAAAATGCAAAGCCTGAAAGAATAAAAGTGAAATGAGGTAGAACAAAGCAAAGGGGTGACCAGATGCCAAGGAGAACAACTCCCTTGTGGGAAGGGACGAGGACTGGACACACGGAGCTCCACCCTGTCCCACCTCCTCCCTAACGAGGGACGCGACACACCTGGTCTTCAAGTCTCTTCTCTACCACCCTACACACATTACATCCACCTCTGCAATCACTCCAGCACCGCAGCCAGCGAGGAACACCAACACTCGGTCACCACAGTCTCCCCAAACTTGATCGTATCATGGATCCCAACACGCTATCACGAGAGGAGGCATTACAGTGGGACTGTAATGCACCCAGCACTGTTCGGGGCACGAGGCGTTTCCGCTAGCAGTCTTACTAAACACACACATATATACACAATCTTCCAATCACTCGCTGCGCGTTTCTGCCACACTAAAGTCCTTCAGATTTCTTTTTCCTAGCACGGTGCGTGTGCAACACCCACAGGTAGAGCGAGAGAGAGAGAGTGTAAGCGCTGGCCGCACACCCGCTCACATGCAGAGCTACTCACAATCTGAGGTAGGAGAATAGACTGAAGTAGTCTCCCCTGCGTCAGGACCCTCCTCCCTGCACCCCAGCTCTGCCGTGCACCCTAAAGTCAGGGTGAAGGGCTCTCTATCCAATGCACCCCTCAAGGAAGGTTCCTTGATGTTGGTGAGGGGCTCTTGATTTAGGGAATTGGATCTGTGCTCCAGTTCCCCGAATTAAGCCTGAATGCCTTCCACATCCCCCCCCCCAGGCGCTGTATAATCTTCCGGGTTTAGCGTTTCCCCCTTGATTATAATAATAATAATCTATCCAATGCATTGGAGCTATTCTCTTCCCCCTGATCTTCAGATTAAACCCGATTCACCCCATCCCTCACACCTTCCGTTCCCAAGGTGCTATTTGACTCTAATGGGTTAGGCTAAAATAGTTACACCCAGTGGAAATAAATAAGGACCCCCAATGGAAATAAGTCACTTTGTATGACTTTTTTGGGTTATCCCAGGTTCTCTACACATATGTTGATATGTATGATAATCTATGTAATTGTATTTGTGTATACCTGAATAAAACTTACTTACACAGGGATTTATGATCTTAGATGACATCCTTAGTGTAAAGCTTTTTATCATGTCACGTTACGCACTAGTAGAGCTTGATTATGAAATCATTCGTGTAAGCTTTTATGACTGATTTTGTTGTGAGAGCTTGATTATGACATCATTCGTGTTGTGTAGAGCTTTATTATGACATGATTCTTGTTGTGTAGAGCTTTATTATGACATGATTCTTGTTGTGTAGAGCTTTATTATGACATGCTTCACTCTGTTTCGGTATGTGATGACGTATTTGGGGTGACATAAAAATAATAATAATGAATCTCTAAAATTGATTTTCTTTTGATATTTTTAACTTGGACTTCCAGCAGGCATGTATGAACGTGTTAGACAGGAGTGAATGGTGACGAATGGTTTTTTTGGGACCTGGCGAGCTGTTGGAGTGTGAGCAGAGTAATATATTTAGTGAATGGACTCAGGGAAACCGGTTATTTTATATAGCCGGACTTGAGTCCTGAGGTTTGGGATATTGGAAGTTTGGCGGGATGTGTAATAGGACGTTATATATATAATTGGGGCCTTGATATTGTAATATTTATTTCAGGCCACATTTTATATTGTATTTATATATATGCTTCTAAACTGTTTTATTCTGAGCGCCTCTGCAAAAACAGTGATTATGTGTGAGTGAGGTGAAAGTGTTGAATGATGAAAGTATTTTCGTTTTGGGGATTTTCTTTCTTTTTGGGTCACCCTGCCTCGGTGGGAGACGGCCGACTTGTTGAAAAAAATTAACTAGATTATTTTTTTATGCAGAAAATAAAAGCTTGGAAGTTTTATACACAAGATGTATACACCATAAGGTGTATTTCTCTCAGTGTATATATATACACTGAAAGTTTGCATTAATCTCTATTTTAAGTATTAAAAGAATTTTTGACTTGTGGTGAACAGGTGACATGCAGCCTTGATGACCCTCGTGTAGCCGATAGGCTTCAAACTCCGTTAACCATCAACTATACAGCGCCTGGGAGAATAAGAAGTTATCAGGTTTGATCCAAGGAAGGGGAGGATGGTTCTAATTCCCTGGATGAAGAGCCCTTCATCGGCATCGAGGCTGTCTGTCCTGTCTTGGTGAGAAAGTAATGATCACGAAGATTATGTTAGAAATATTAACCCAGATGGTTAGCAAGCCAGGATGACCTAACTAAGCCACGTCATCACACTGGCTTAAATACCACTGTGGGTCCTTGAATCCTCTCCCTCAGGATGCGACCCACACCTTTCGACTAACACCCAGGTACCTACTTACTGCTAGGTGAACAAGGGCAACAGGTGTAAGGAAGATATGATTTTGGTAGGAATTTTAACTCCGGAGGGTTAGCCACCCATGATAACTCAAGAAAGTCAGTGCGTTATCGAGGACTGTCTGTCTTATTTCCATTGGGGTCTTTAAATTTTGTCCCCCAGGATGCGACCCACACCAATCGGCTAACGTCCAGATACCTACTTGCTTGCTAGGTGAACGGGGAGAGCAGGTGTTGGAAACATGCCCAGTGATTCAAACCACGGACAGTCAACGTGTGAGGCGACAGCGTTGCCCACCAGGCCACGGGACACCTGCCTAACGTTTCTGCTCGTCTAGGGATCGAACCCTGGTCCCCGAGTGTGTGAGCTGAGGCTGCTATTAATTGAGCCACGAGTACCAAGCAATGGAAAGCTCAGTGAATGTCTTGATAAAGCTCCCCATGGGTCTTGATAAAGTTCCCCATGGGTCTTGATAAAGCTCCCCATGGGTCTTGATAAAGCTCCATATGGGTCTTGATAAAGCTCCTCATGGGTCTTGATAAAGCTCCCCATGGGTCTTGATAAAGCTCCCCATGGGTCTTGATAAAGCTCCATATGGGTCTTGATAAAGCTCCTCATGGGTCTTGATAAAGTTCCCCATGGGTCTTGATAAAGCTCCACATGGATCTTGATAAAGTTCCATATGGGTCTTGATAAAGCTCCCCATGGGTCTTGATAAAGTTCCCCATGGGTCTTGATAAAGCTCCCCATGGGTCTTGACAAAGCTGCCCATGGGTCTTGATAAAGCTCCACATGGGTCTTGATAAAGCTCCCCATGGGTCTTGATAAAGCTCCACATGGGTCTTGATAAAGCTCCATATGGGTCTTGATAAAGCTCCATATGGGTCTTGATAAAGCTCCACATGGGTCTTGATAAAGCTCCACATGGGTCTTGATAAAGTTCCCCATGGGTCTTGATAAAGCTCCACATGGGTCTTGATAAAGCTCCATATGAGTCGAAACATCTTCCTCCACCCTGTCTCTTCGTTTTACTCGGAAGCGTTAAATCCGTATGGGAGGGGGGTAATCATACCTTGCCTGAGAAATGAAAGATGATCAGGTTTGATCCTAGGAAGGGGTTGGCGGCTGTACTTTCTTGTATCAAGAGCCCTTTCCGAGCATCAAGGTAACCCTTGTTTTGAAGGAACTCCGAAAGAGCAGGGTTATCTAAAGTTAATTAACTGTAAATGACGAAAGATTTTTTTGTGTGCCCACAGCGTCTATATGTCCCCATAACCATTGTAAAACTAAGACTTATTTCGCTCCATACTAGATCCGGAAAAGGTATTCCCGTATTGCATAACCCCAGCCCCTTGTATCTCAGTGATACGAGAAAGGTATTCCCGTATTGCATAACCCCAGCCCCTTGTATCTCAATGATACGAGAAAGGTATTCCCGTATTGCATAACCCCAGCCCCCTGTATCTCAGTGATCCGAGAAAGGTATTCCCGTATTGCATAACCCCAGCCCCCTGTATCTCAGTGATCCGAGAAAGGTATTCCCGTATTGCATAAACCCCAGCCCCTTGTATCTCAAAGATCCGAGAAAGGTATTCCCGTATTGCATAACCCCAGCCCCTGTATCTCAGTGATCCGAGAAAGGTATTCCCGTATTGCATAACCCCAGCCCCTTGTATCTCAATGATCCGAGAAAGGTATTCCCGTATTGTATAATCCCAGCCCCTTGTATCTCAATGATCCGAGAAAGGTATTCCCGTATTGCATAACCCCAGCCCCTTGTATCTCAATGATCCGAGAAAGGTATTCCCGTATTGCATAACCCCAGCCCCTTGTATCTCAATGATCCGAGAAAGGTATTCCCGTATTGCATAACCCCAGCCCCCTGTATCTCAGTGATCCGAGAAAGGTATTCCCGTATTGCATAACCCCAGCCCCCTGTATCTCAACGATAAGAGAAAGGTATACCTGGAGAGGGTTTCGGGGGTTAACGCCCCCGCCGCCCGGTCTGAGGCCAGGCCTCCTGGTGGATCAGGGTCCGATCAGCGCTGTCCAGCGCTGTCTTGAAGACAGCCAGGGGTCTCTTGGTATTCCCCCATAATTATGTACTGCATAACCCGTCCCCTATACCTCAATGTTTGCTAAATTAAAAAAACAATACTTACTTGGTTACTAGAACATGAATAACTATGGATAAAATTATATACATGAACATTATTCTTAGTTTCTATATGTTTTATAAAGAAAATAACCCCCCAAACTCTCATCAAAAAAATATTAAAAATAATTCCTATATACCAGGTGTGAGTTCCCAGGAGCCATCAACAAGACAATAGGGAAGTCTAACGCGTTAATATTATACTATGGACAAGGAGTATATACTTACTGTAAGTAAATGGTTCTTCTTTAAGTTTCACATTACCACTCAGGTGAGTAACAGTGGAGAACCTCCGTGTTATATGACATTTGATCCTGTAAATTGTTTTTGCGCTTGCCAAGTCATGCAAGGTTCCCACCCAGTGCTCTGCATTCGTTGCTTGGCTTGTCGTATGGGTATAGTAAGTTTATTCTGGTACAGGTACACATGAGTACAGTTAGAGGTGTCCCGTTGCTCGATAGCCAGCGCACGCAGCTTACACACACTGAGGTCCGGGGATCGATCTCCCGGTACGGCTGGAATGTGTTTCCTTAAGACACCTGCTGTCCCTGTTCACCCATCGGTAAAATATGCACCTGGAGGTTAGTCGACTGGTGTGGGTCGCATCCTGGGACAAAATTGACCTAATTTGCCCGAAATGTTCTGCATAACAAGAGGCTTTCTATATAGTAGTATGTCATTGATGTCAGCTATGGTCTGTATACCTTGTACATGTACTTGTAGAAATGAACATCAAAATGGTATACAATACCGACAGGTTGTTAGGTAAGACACATATGCAACAGTTAGACAACGTTTCGGAATAAAGTTGTCTAACTTTTGCATATGTGTCTTACCTAACAACTTGTAGAAATAAAGATATTATTATTATTAAAAAGTATCATAGCAGCATATGTGTAGATTATCTAGGACAACT